AATGGTTGCATAACTTGACATATGTAATCAATGTCACTGAATTGAACATGTAGAAACAGTTGAATTGGTGTATGTTTTCCTATGTGGATTTTCAACAACAAATAACAAATGAAATTGAAAAAATAAAAACATACCTGTTGGTGAAGTCCTAATGGTGGATTTAGGCAGACAGAGAAGGTATAGAAATAGAATAGGTAATGGGATTAAGATGAAAGTTTGGAAGATATATTGTAATGTTTGAACAGGCTTTAAGGACAGTGGCTGTTTCTTTTGCTTGCATGTGTTATGTGGCTGGATATTGTGCCTGTCTGGGGAATGATTCCTCTCTTTGTATTGTAAAAGATAAGGCATGAAAATCTGCCCTTCTGCCAAATGGGAACCAATGAGACTGCCTGAGTCCAAATGGTATGGAATAGAAGTTGGACTGATGGTATGAATAAATACTCTGTACAGTAGTAGCCTTAGCTGCAATGAAAACTCAGGCTAAAGCTAAAGCCTTTGACTACCACCCATGAAGACCGCTGGATTTTTGACCAGAAAATTTTCCTTCCAGAGACAACTAGCTTCCTACTGGACATGAGTGGGGATGTTTCTTATAACTGAAAGACATAAAATAATCTCAAAACCTGAAATACCTAAAATGACTTGGGTGATGTCAGAAAAATGCTCTGACAAAGGGTTAATCAAACCACAGAAGGCCATAGCAAAGGCCAATTTGTTTGTCAAGATTTATAGACCCTTCAAACAATAAACAGAAGGCTCAAAGCACAGAAGAAAGTGCTTTAACTGGTCAAATGAACAGCACGTAATGGAGAGTGGACGTGTACATCAAAATAGAATAACATTATACCATGAGGTGAGTTAAATTTCTGCCCAATACCATTCATAGCCCACATTAAAAAAACATCTTATGACAGACCTAACATCCCCTGAGCAAAGAGACCATAAACCAAACCAAATCAAATTCACTGCTGTGGAGTTGGATCTGAATAGTGATCCCTCCTTGGGTTTCCGAG